CTGGTCCATATGTCTCCCTCGCATCTTGTCTAGAGGTCTGGTGTTCTCGAGGACCGATAATACTGAAACCCACACAGTCAGCCATTTCATGTGTGCCAGTCCCATGACATATGCGGTCATCTCTGTGCATGACGGACCACCTGATGATGTGTTGGAGGTGAGGTTGCCCTGATGCACGGAAGTATCCACGTCATCTGGGCCATCGGCCGAAGTCACGTGTCGGCTCCTCGGCGCGTGCCGGCGGACGGTGTTGCCTTGGGATACGGGTCCGGCAGAGGCGGAGCCTATGAGAAGGGCGACGAAAAGCACCAGAATGGCCATCAGTGGCGTCACGACAAGAAGCTGGCCCCCGCACCGACAACACACGAACAGACCACGGAAGGGACACAGAGATGTGTGTGACGAAGGTGGTGCACCACTGAGTGCTTTCACCTGGAGCAGCGGTGCCGATGACTTGTCCGGATCCTGATGCTGCCTTGGGACCAGATCTTCTGTGAGGAGGGATTCGATTAGCCGGTTTTTTTTTGGTAAATGTCTCTTTGGGTAAATCTGGCGAGCGGGGTATATTTCCGTCAAACACGACGAGACGAGGACAGCCGAGCCCGGAGTGAAACACGCTGGCCCGAATGCACTTTTCTCTGTTGAGCGGAGAAGATGGGACGCTAGTTTGCATTTGAACAAGTGTTCTGTCCAAAAAGTTACAATGATCGACATGTGAGAGGCATTGAACAAGTGCCCTGATGTGTCACTATCTTTTGTTCTTTGTATCATGTCATAAGTGAAGCATGTCAAAGTGACATCATGTCATGCCATTTTCAGAGTGTATTGCATGCATGACCGTGTAAGGATTTAATGCGATTTGATATTGACACGAGTATGACAAAGAACATGAATGTCACGGCAACTAGACGGCAAAATAGTTTGGAGTTCCTCCTGTTCTTTGTCAGATCCATCTATCTCCCTCTTGCCAAGCCCCCAATCCATCCATCCATCCATCCCTCCCTCCCTCCTCTACTATCTAACAAGCAACGTAATCCAAGCCCATGTTTCGGTTGTCTTCTCTCGTGGGTCGCACCCCTCCCTCTCCCTCTCTCTACTATCATCCACGTGCGCGACCACCAGCGGGCGTACACAAGCAACCTCAGCCTCAACGGGGAGAGACATCATCTCCAGGTGACTCAGGTGAGCATCAAGCTTACGCACTGACTTCAAAGTGCGAGAACCTTAAGGTATGAACGGGAGGTCAAATCATCGGTATGGCTTGCGACGCACAAGGGTGGCAAGGGTAAAAATGACTTGCGTGCATTCTCTGGGTATAACAACCGGGAGTGTGCACAGGCAAGAAAAAATTCAGAATTCCTTTTCACTCACTATGTCTTTGTTGTCAGGGACGTGTCCGGCGACCGACATATTCGAGAAACCACCCATTACTCTAAACTCGAGGCGAGCGTGGGACCGGATGGTTTCCCCTCAGTGGGCATCGCCAGCTTCTGGTAAGGACATAACTACTGTAGCCTCAGCCCTTTCCGTCGTCCTCCTGGTGTTTGTTGCAGCGCAAGTTCCTTGCCGGCACCACATCCACGGGATCTGCGGGCGGACAAGGTGACGCGGATCAACTACCGCCAGGTGTGGGAGTCGGATCCAGTGCGGGCGTGGCAGACATACGACGTAGAAGGTAGCTGGGAGTAGACGGCCATTCGCGTATCCACGTGAGCATGACGTCCACCACTCTGTGTGCTGGCAATGTCATTGCCCAGAGACAACCGACAAAGATGGGCTTGGATTACGTTGCTTGTTAGATAGTTGAGAAGGGATGGATGGATGGGTGGATGGATGGATAGCAAGAGGGAGATAGATGGATCTGACTGAGTCGTCGTTTTGCACTATCATTGGGATCTAGAATAGTATCACATTGATAGTCGCATAGAGGCATCAATGTGAAGTCACTGCCTTAAACATGCGCATAGTGTCATCTGGTAGGTCGATATACAGTCGACTGCTTTTAGTAACACTCGACAAAGAATCAATCCAGATACACGAATAATCCTCAGTTACTCGACGAACACAGGGTTGTCTGTGCTGAGCAGCCGTTTTTCCCTTTCGCACGCCAGCCGCTCGTACTTGCTCAGCGAGAACATGTGGCGGTGCGCGTACCCTTCGTAGTGCTTGAGTTTGACAATCTGGTCGGCACCGAGGCGGGCCTCGAGCAGCTCGTCTATCTCGCCCTGGTCATTGATCAATCCGTGAACAACTCGAGGCTCAGGCATCGACAGTGAGCAGGTTGCATGCTTACTGGAGGGGTGTCTGGTGAGAGGAGGAATTCGGCGTTGTCGGAGCAAATATGGAAGCCCCAAGGAGCACCGAACGAGGGAATGTCTATTCGGTAGGGACACACGTGTGCGAACACCTGAAAACACACAGGTAACACCCAGAGTTTTTGTCCAGCTGTCCGTACCTTCTTGAGTGTTTGGTTTATGACAGTAAATCCCTCTGTGATCATGTTGACGGAGCACGCGGTGCTCTGCGTGCACAGTACTCCGTGCTCCCGCAGACTATCTCGCTTGAGCTTCTGGTAGAACTCTTTCGTGTACAGCACCCAGCCGGGGCCAGCTTCGATCGGGTCGGAGATGTCCATGATGACGACGTCGAAACGTTCACCGCTGGTCGCCAGGTATTTGCCCGCATCGTCGTATATGACCTCCACGCGCGGGTCGTCGTAGACACCGCCATTCCATTCAGGCAAATTGTCCCTGCACGCACATGCAGATGCAGGAACGAAACAGCGATACGGCGACACCCCAACTCTTCCGTGAGTAACCTGCACATCTTGACAGCGATTTGGTCGATGTCGACCATAACGACTCTCTTGACGTTCTTGTGCCTGAGCACCTCCCGCAGAGTGGCGCCTTCACCGCCGCCCCCTATGAAGACCGCCTCAGGATGCGGGTGAGACAACAGCGCGGGGTGAACAAGTGACTCGTGGTACAGGCACTCGTCGCTCTGCGCAGATTGCATCTTGTTGTCAAGCACCTGGTGATATGCAGTGCAATACCGCCATCATAATCATGCCCGAATTGCATACTGACCAGAACTTTCCCAAAGTGCTTTGTGCTAAAGATCTGCACGCTCTGGAACTTGGACCGTCCATTGAACAGCACAGACGTAATGGGCATCGAGTAGTACCTGCAGCAGAAAAGCCCGTCTTCCAGGTCTGACCCATTCGGCAAGTTTCGGCGTTTACAGGTCCTTGGCCACTTACAGGTCCTTGGCGAGATGCTCTCGATAATGCAGCGCCGGCAGTTCTGCTATCCCCTTGGCTTCCACTCCATCCGCCCCCCCTTCGTGCGGGTGCGGTTTGCTTCCTTTATTCGTCTGGTCACCATATGCAGACGTGTTCCAACCAAATTCTGCATACATCGTTGATTCCGTACGTCAGTAGAGCCGGCATTCCGTTTCACGGTGGACCCTTGACATTGAATAATGTGAATGCACAGACCAGTATATCAACAGCGATAATGTAATGTCTCTGTACAATCTATCAACCCAATCCATCAACCATCATGTTGATGAATTGTACAGACTGTACAACATGCTTCTTCCTCATGGGACGCTCACTATCATTTACGGCGGGCTGCTCTGCTGCTACCCTTGCCGACAAACGTGTAGTGCCTTGACTCCATGGCCCGCCGGTGTGCGATGGCCATCTGCTTGGCCTTCTCGAAGCCAGCCTCTTGGTGTGGTGAGGCATCGATAGTATCTACGAGTGTGTGTTGCGTTAGTTGTCTATGTCTGCTTGGAGGCGCGGGAGCCTCACAAGGGGCTGAGACTCCGCTCGCCCCGTGTGAAGGTGTGTGGCATGGATGTTTTCATGAAAACATCCATACGTGGGATATCTTCTGGCGGGTTCCATGCACATGGTACATGTGCATGTGTGTGAAGGAGCTTCACGCGTTTTCATCCATATTGCGATGACGCCAGCAAGAGGGAAACGCATGAAACTCGTGGGTGGGAGGAATCAAAGAATGGCACATCGCTCGGACTCATGCATATGGCCGCATCTCGCGACGTGCACGGTTTGCGATGACGTAACACACTTGTTGGCCGTCTAGACGTGGACATGTGGACACTACATACATACCGCAAGTCACCTGATGATACCATAAAGACACAGCGAGCCCATCATCAGGCGTCCCTATCTCTTGTCGTCTCCTCCTTGATTCTTGCTCTCTTCGGCAGCTGCCTTGGTGACATCATGCCATGACGGTGGCAAGTCTCGACGCTGCAGCCCGCTGCGGCTGTATGCGCTTCTGTCATCCATAAGACACTCCCACTGCTGGGGGCAGTCCTTGGCCGTCCGTTCGCTGCCCGGCCTCACAATGGCCCAGCACAGCGTCTCACGAGACAGTGGCTGCCACTCAATCGGTCTGTCCATCGCAAAGGCCTCGCGTGGTGGGGGCTTCAAGAGCTGGTAAGTGCCCAGATCGTATGCTACTCTAATGAAAGGGAAAGTCAGCACCCGGTGGAAACCAATTCTCGCGTAGTCCTTGCAGAGGAGACTGCACTAGGACGCAGAGCACTCTCGGTCGACGGAGCAGCCAACGATGCCATCGCGGCTTCGACGAAAGCGAGCGTTGTGTGCGATGAAGGGGATGGGGTTGAGAGCAGCAGCGCCGTTCCAGCAGCAGCCGACTTGAAGAGGCTTGCCGCTTTGAAGCTGCCGCCAATTTGAGTAGGCGAATGACCCCCACGGATTGCCGTCTCTATCTCGAAATACCCACTGAAGCAGTCACACAAGGACACCTGCAATGAGAATAGCACGAAATGGAATTGTCCCTTTCCACCCACCGTGTCGTAGAAATCCACAGCTCCCGGATCGTGGTCGGCGGTCGTGTAATCCATCCCACACGCGATGTCCGCCTCGTTGTGCAGCGACTGGTGCAACAGCTCAATGATGTCATGCTCGCAGAAGTAGATGTCGTTGAGGGCCCAGCAGTTCCTTCAGCAAAACAACCGCTGGCTTTCTTTCTTCGCGCATGTCGCTCGGGGACTTCTGAAGGGAGGTAGGGACGCGCAAGTGATCCAGAAACTCGTGGAAAGTGGCGAATTCTGTGCTCGACGACTGGATTAGGTGCAGCAGCCGCTGTGGTGTATCCGTATCTGCACCCTCCAATGCCAATGATGAGACCGGCCTGGCAAATAAGGCAAGCCACACGACAGGCCTTGCAATGAGGGCCAAGGCCCGGAATGTTGTCGTCAACTTGAAGTGTTGACACCGACTCATCTCACAGGCCGATCTCTCACGGGACAATAGTTGGAAAGATCCTGAAGATCCTTGTTACAAGGACTTCCGAGTGGATTTCCCACCAAAGTGCTAAAAGTAGGAGCTCAGAATCGAGCCTCAGGTGGCTCTCACAAAATGAAACTCATACAATTGAAACTGCACCGCAGAGCTCCGACCCTATTGCGAGCTCTAAGCCGAGGGCCAGTCTCTCACGTTTGTGCGAGGACACGTTTGTGCGAGGAGCCGATTTGCGATTTAGAAGTTGGTTAAACCTTTTGGGCTTTTGTTGGGTTTGAGACCTGTCCCCTCTATTTCCCGGTCCACAAACGCATCAACACATGCTTGCCCCACTTGGCGTTCTTGTACATCCAGTGCGCAGAACTACACAACATGGCTGCGTGTACCGCTTGCCGGCAGGCCATGGTGTCAAGGCACTACACATTTGTCGACAAGGAGGCAGAGTCAGAGCAGCCCGCCGTAGACGATAGTGAGGAGCGCCCGAAGAAAAAGAGGAAGAGTAGGGGAGAGAATGAGTGAGGGTTGTTTATAGATTCAATTATTAGATTGGTTGGATAGATCGTACAGAAACATTACATTACCGCTGTTGATATAATGGTCTGTGCATTCACATTGAGCATATGTTTTACGTGACTGAGCAAGGAGATGTCGCGGCAGCGGGCGCTGATCGAGCGTTGTGCGAGAATGGCCATAGTTGATTTCTACCACATCTACGTCGCCCCTCATGAGCATGGGTAAGAAAGGAACGGAATGTATCCAGATATGCAAGGCACTTATCTAATCTGTTGTTTTCACAGGGATGCCGGCCCGTTGATGTCTGACGCAGACTATCGTGCGATGTGTAGTGCCGTGAGAATTTAGCATCCGCCTACACCAATTTACGTTGATTCGTTTCTTTTACAGAGGGCCCGGAAGGCAAACCGCACATTCCATCTGAGGATGTTGCGCGAGTTGGGGGAGGAGGACTTCATCAAGTGGAAAAAGCACGTATGTGAATGCATAGATAGCACGACAGAAAGGACACAGCATTGCTTCGTCCCTGTGGGTGTGTTACGATTATAGTATTACTCCCGCAAGCGAGCCGGCAAGGAGGGCCCACAGGGACGCCACCGCAGGACGGCCAAGACCAGACAGACTGTCGTCGACGTCGCGGGTCAGGAAATGAGAGGAAAGGCGACACCTGTGTTCTCATGTGTGTGTGGATTTGCGGCAGCACACCAGTCTGATGTGCCGGGTGTTTCCTGGCACGAGAATACCCAGGCCTGGGTGGCTTCATAGCACGAGGGCGGCAAGCCGAAGTTCGAGAACTTCTACGTCAGTGAGCACGGCTTCCACAAGGCCAAGGTAACCACTTAATCGGCTGAACTTCATGCTGTTATGTCAGCCTCATGTTGCACCTATATGTATGTGTGTATGTCAGGCGTTGGCTGAGGAGCACCGTCTCGAGATGGTGGCCACCGGGCGAGCGGCTGTGCAGGAGCGGGCTGAGCGCCAGAGCGGCGTCAGGGGCGTCACGTACGACAAGAGCAGGCACCGATGCAGGCCAGATGGCACGAGGGCGGCAGGGAGAGGACCAAGTCGTTTCCCATCAATGAGGACGACCCCGACAAGGCCCTGCAGGAGGCCATCGCATACCGTCAGGCCATGGTGGCGCTGCACAACCAGCCTGTGGAAAGTGTAGCAGCAGAGCAGCCCGATGAGATGTCAGTAGATGACGAGGAGGAGGAGATGGTTAGTCGCAAGACTCGCAAGAAGAGGAGGAAGGGATGAGAGTCAATGAGGGTCGTTGATTGTAGCCACGTGTTGATAGATTGTGCAGATTTGTGCATATACATTTGCTATCAGACTTGCCTGGCTATGTGTGTATAATGAATGAATGAATGGATGAGAAGCCAAACTTAGCCATGTACGGACGTAAATGGGAAAATCGTTATATGGGAAATGTCCCATTTATCCGTTGTGAATGTTGCGCATTTCCCAAGCCGGTGACATTCATTCATTGTGAGCCGTCGCAATGAAGAATCCGACCCATGAGACTGAGCATTCGTCCTGTACACAATGCGAATCACAATGTGTAAGTCACAATCCCTCAGGTGTTACATCCTCCTTGCTGGCGGTACGTGAGACGGTCAGATAGGCCGTGTGTCTTTGCAAGGTTATGCTACCGCCGCTGTCTCGGTCTGAAGAGGCTCTCATACTCGATCAGCAGCCATGCGAGGTAGCAATGATAGTCTTCAAACCTCACAGCGACCCATGTTACTTTAGATCTCACTCAATTATTCTCCCCCGGACACGGGTACGTGGCCCCAATTTTGGACCCCTCGTACGCGATTGGCGGGTATAGGTAGAAGGCATTGAGGCCGAGCAGCGGAATGTAACGATTGAAGAGGTGATCGACCGGTAGGAAGCCGTCGACAATGACACCCGTCTCGAGGACTCTCATGGCCGCACGCTTGTGCAACATGACGGCGTTGAAGCATCGAGAAGCCTGCGATCGATACAGGTTTTTCGACTCCTTCGCCTTCAACCTTATCTTTAAGCACGTGCCAAGAAATACAATCTGCACAGCAGTCAATGTAACAGCAGTCAATGAAGTCATTCGTGCCTACATCCCATGTTCGCCGCGTGAGCTGAAGACGCAGCTGTGCAAGTTTGTTGTGAAAACGCGGCACTAGCCAAATGTCGTCTTCGAGGACAAGCACTTCTTCAGGCAACGAGCCGTTGGCGAGCATTTCGAAGATCGTCCATTGATTTTGAGCGTGCTCAGCATATCTTTCCTCTCGCCGGAAAACAGCCGCTGAAAATCTGAAAGTGACTCAATACGGGCCGCGTTTCGGAAGAGTTTTTGCGAAAGATACGTCCTCTTTGCAAAAGCGGCATCAAGCGACGGAAATGAGACCTCGACCTGGTGGGGTACGAACATGCGGCGGAGCATGAGCCGACCTTGCTCGAGACGCTTCCCGTACGACAGAACTGTTGTAGGCCATTTCAAGAACTCACGATTGGCGTCGCTGCAGCATTCGTCGAAATACATACTCGGCTGAGAGAGCTCCTGGAGAGAAAGTCTATTCCAGCTCTCGCTACCGAACAGTGTTGCCGTGAACTCATCGTGCGATGAGATATCTTTCACGATTTTAGAGATGGACGATACCCGCAGTGCGGCGGCGCTACACATCGCTGAGAAAAGGCGCACCAGCACCTGTGCGTGGCTGATGCAATCCGGCGAACTCGTCTCCTGCTGCACAGCAGGCACAATCACGCCATTTTTGTTGTCCACCGCGATCGTGTTCGTCTCTGGCGCTCTATTGTGGAACAAAAACACACGCACAGCCAGTCGTACACAAACAGAAACACGCACAGCCAGTCGTCGTGCCGTGCGTTGAGGGGGGCCGAGGGTCCGCTTACAGCAACGTGCTGTTGTTCGTCTCTGGTGCTCTATGATGACGCACAAACACACGCACGCCTAGCCATGAGTCGTCGTGCGGTGTGAAGGGCTGAGGGGGCCGCTTACGATGGACTGGCGTGGATGCGTGGCATCCGGATAAGCCTTCGCCGACATGAAAGGAGGGCTGGTCACCTGTGTGTCGCTGCATACATATCGCCTGTATACCCTGTCGTTCTTATTTCTGTCGTGGGTATACAGGCCCGATGTTTTTGTGCGTTGGGGGTCTCCTTCGTGCGGCGTAGGACACTGTGGCCCTCCTGCACAAACACTGCCTACACACCAAAGCGGGGGGAAAAAAACAGATCTGCCGTCTGTGGTGGTGGTGCCGTGCGTCGAGCACACACCTTGCCTTCCCTCTTGTTTTCCCTCATGTTCCCACGGTATTGCGTGACGAGCGCACCGCGCGATGTGGGCTTCAGTGCACGCTGCAGCCACACACACAGACGGCACACTGCATGGAGGTGCACACGGCAGATCTGGTGGCAACAAGGCCGCCGCCGTAACACACCGTGTTGAACAGGGCCTGGTGAGAGATGATCAGAAGGGCGATGAACACGTCTGAGATCATGCTCCTCGCCAGCTCGCAAAATCGGACCTTTCGATAATTTACCACATTTACATAGGCGCCTGTAGGGCCGCCGCAGCACTCACAGGGCTGAGTGGATGAGCGCGTGGATGGTCTCTCTCTCGCGCGCGTGGATGCCCGGATGGCGGACGCAACGGGTACCCGAGGCAGCATCGCACCCCCATCCCCCATGACGGGCGACTCCGGCAGTATCGCTGGTTAGGGGGTAGCTCAGATCCTCTCCACCTAAAGAGGACATTGCCATTCGCAATCGTCGAGAATCTAGACATGCAGGCCCCATTTCGCAGTTGACAAAATTCCTACAGGAGCACACTGTCAGAATCTAGACATCTAGAGAAGCAGCCCCCAGATGGTGTGAACCAAATGTGAACCGGCCAGGTGAGAGCCTCACACACACCAAGCAGCAGCTCCTCACTCGCTTTCCTTCCTTCCTTCTCAACTGTCACCCCTACAACAACCGACCTGGTCCGACCATCCAATCGCTCCGTTCTCAGCAGCCAAGGCACTTGGCGCATCTGAAGCGTCCAGCTGGAAGTGTCACTCGAAGGGCACTCAATCCATTCCAAACATTATCATCTCACTCACTCTGGTTCGCGAGATATCCTTGACTCAATTCTATCTGATCCCAACCGATACCTGCTCTGCTGCTTTCTCTGCAGTGACTGGACAAACACGCGCCAAGCTTGCCGCAACTGAAGCCTCACTCAAAGGGCTCTCAACTCGTTCCCAACATTATCACCGCACTCACTCTGGTTGGTTCGCGAGATATGTCTCACACAAAGTATCTACAGAGACACGAGCTCGAGATCTTCATTCATTAATATTCATTCACTCATTCATTCATCCATTCATCCATTCGAGCGTCCTCATGAACACACAAGGCATGCGCATCGAGGCTAGCAGCACATTGCAGGACACCCTGCAGAGACCAGGGCGGTGAGTCCGGGGCTCACGCCGGGCTCCTTCCCTTGGCTACCCCTGGGTTCCCCTGCTGTTGAGTGATGCCTCTGATGCGTGATTGTTAGTGATTGTCTGCCTCCACCCCGTAGGAGGTTTCTCCCTCCTCGTTGTACTGGACCATTGTTGTCTTTTTGTTGTCTTTTTGTTTTCTTTTTGTAATGGACCACTGTAATTCGTGGAGTTTTTAAGTAGAATACATGAAGGGGCGACGAAGTTCGTCTAAGCATCGGTCGTATCAAGCAAGTCAAGGGAGCGTGTCACAGCAGGGTTTGTGCACAGCGTGTGTTGCTCGGCGGGCTGGCCATGCCCATGATGAACGCGTGCGTTCCCTGCCTTGCGTGAAGGCTTACTCGGCAGAGGTTGATCCTGTGCTCGGCACACAGCAACTTCAACAGCACCCACTCAGGATCGTCCTGGTAAGTGAAGATGAATGAAGATGAAAGCCGCCTCTCACTTTCTCTCTTTCCGGGGCCTAAGGCCCCTCCAGTGGCAGTGTGAATCATACAAACATGCACAAATCCATGCAGTTTCTGACACAGATTGTCCGTATCTGACATGTGGATGTAGGTGGAATGGTTTGTTTCGTCAGCTTGAAGTGCTGTTGTGGGAGGATGCCGTGTTTTCGGCAGTGACCCGCACCTCCAGTCGATAATTCGCGCCTACACGGGTGTTTCATAGCTGCGTGTTAGCTGCGTCTTGCCTGACAGCCACGAGGTAGACAGGGGGTTGTCTCTCACGTACATGCGTGTCAAACAAAGAGACAACACATCACCAGGGTATTGCCGACTGATATCACCCCCCACCCGACTGACATGACACGGGTAGACAGGCTTATGGTTATGATGTCATGATCTATTTCATTTTCATCCCTTGATTCAATCATTGAAATAGGTATAACATCCGTCACGCTTCCGGGAATAGACAAAACCACTTAAACGTCAGCAGGATCGCCATCTGAGGCTAAGGTGTTTTTCACACATCCGTATATTGACTGCATGTCTAAATTCATTATTCTGTCAAGCATCAACTTCTCTTGTTCATACTCAAAATGGATGTGTCTTAGGTTATATCAGGGTTGTTGATAGTAGCCCTGATGTTGATACATTGTACAGACACTCGCTGTTGATACACTGGTCTGTGCATTAATACGCTTATTGCAAATGAATAAGTGACATCACAAGGCTCATGCAGAATGTTGCGAAGTGCTCACGATGCCCTTCGCCCATGTCTGTGACCCTGATGAAGGCGCTCGGCTCAGATGACTGGAAGTGCGGACGTATGTGTCTGGATGTGATGGACGGATGCATTGGATGCCGTGGACCGTGTGCTGATGGAGAGGATGCAGCCCTGGATGAATGGATAGACGGATGGATCTGATGCTGATGCTGATGGATGACAGGCTGAAGGATAGTAGTTGTGTGTAGGCAGGCATGACGACAAGCCGTAGATGGTCACAGGGGAGGCAGCCAGGGAAGATAAAGGGCTGCCGATGAATAAGAGCGCTAGATAAGCCTGCAGTGAATGCATGCGTGGGCCTGGGGGCGTAAGACGAGATAGCAGAAGTTGGCCAGGCGAGTTAGTGCCCGTTGCGTTTCATAATTGTTATTGTTCGCTTCCGATATGACTTGAGTCATTCTCTTGAGATCTGTTGCTTCGGCACGACCTTGGTCCTTCCGACCACATTCCCTTCGGCAGGGCGTCTTCCCAAGCCGCCCTTGGAGCCGCAGAGTGATGGTGGAGTGCGCATGTGAGTGATGGTGGAAAACGAGTACGTCGCCCGGCTGGCCACCCTCCCGGTGAGTCCTCAGCGAGGCGACACGAGTACTCGTACGACAGCTAGCTGCCCTTCTTGCATCATCTTCCCTCAGCCAGATCTTGCTCTCTCTCTGAGTCCATGTGCCTCCTCGTCCTTCCAGGACTCGCTCCTGTGCTGACCTACTCCTCTCCTCTCTTCCCGACTGGCCGGATGCATGTCTTGGGATGCTTTTGGGGTCATGTCTCACTGGGATTACATGCACGCATATCTGCCTGAGATCTGTCTGTCTGTCCGTCTGTGTTGTCTCTCTAGCCTCCCAGTGTGTGCCTACGTATCCGCCACAAGGTCCGTCCCCTCGCCGATCACATACTGAGGCAGACAGCACATATATTTGACCCGCACATCATCAGTCAGGGAACACGGGACTCTCACTCAGAGCGGAGGGCACAAAAGCATGTGTGTGGCTGGCTCTCTCTCTCTCTCTTTCTCGGTTGGCTGAGATCAGTTGGTTGTCTGGTGTGTTTGACTGCGCGTATGGTTATGACTGTTGTCAGAGAGAGGACATCCGCACCATGACACTTTTGCAACAAGAAGCCAACCGTCTCAAGTGACATCACAAGCCGATTTCTTGCAACTTCTCGATGCTCGCCGAAATCTTGCAAATCTCGGTCTTGCCCCGCTTCATCAGCAAAGAAACATTCCAAGACGAATGGACATCAAACTCTGCTCATATAATCAGATGCCTTAGAATGCCGCCTTCTGACGTGGATGACCCAGGGTCTCTCAGTCGCTGTCTCGGCCTGAAAAGGCTCTCATACTCGATCAGCAGCCACGCCAGGTAACAATGATAGTCCACGGGCCGCAGATGGGACGCAGCGAAGCTCTGGGCTGTCTGGGCTATCTGCCGTGCCTCGTCGTCGTGCTCCAGCGCCCACACCAGCTTTGCGGGCAGGTCACCGAGTGAAGGAGACACCGGGACAAAGTGCACCCATGGCTGCAGCCACCCGTCCATCCATGTCTCAAAAGCGGTCTGAGGGAAAATGTAAAGAGCGAGCTCTCGGATTTGGCTCGTGCGTTGCTCACCGAAATGAAAACAAGGGAGTTGGACCGTAATAAGCTGACTAGCCGCCGTGACCATGAGTTTCCATCGACATGAAGGACATACTTGTAGTCGAAATACCGCTCAACCGGCAGTGGCTTGGCTCTCCCAAGGATGTGCTCCAGCTGCGAACAGATAGATGGAGTGTTGCACTGACAGTAGCCCGTCAGGCCCACATCGAACAGGTCTCCCACACGGGATGAAGCCCACTTGCCCTCTGGCCACTTGTCGTGATCCGAGACGAGGCCATGCGACCGCAGCTCCTTGCTAACATCGCTGAAAAGAGCGTTCTTGTTGTTTTGTCCGAATAGCTTAACCAGTCTGCCCCTCTCGCACTTCCACAGCAGGTCATCCGCATTCGTCCACTGACATCCCGTGTTCGATCCCCGCCACACCAGCATGCTTTTCTTGTCCTCCCATCTCGCCGTGGCGTCTTTGGGACTCCACTCGTCAAGGTAGTAGGGAGAGACGATATCCACAAAGCACGGCCACACGCGAGCGGCGGAGAGCATGGGTAGCAGGCCTCGGCGAGCATTAAAAGTGACAGGGCTAACAGAAACTCCACTGTTGATTGATATTCGGCTGCTTGCTTGGGGCAAGATGGCCTGACTGCCTCAAGACCGCCGCTTTCGCCCGTTGTTTTTTCCAACCGATCAGACTGCCCGATGCTCTCATTCGTCGGCCGCAGCACGCGAGGCTCGTCGAGGACGTTCGTCACTATGATCATGTCAGGCAGTAGTTTCGCAATGGGTTTGAGCAGCTTTCTCCAGCCGCCGCTTTCCCAAAGCGAGCTGTAGCCTCTCACACGAAATAATTGTCCGTTCCTTACCTGACACGGACGATTATTCTCCGTTGCTTCCCGTAGCGTCTCGGTCTACCTTCCAGAGGACAGTTCTTGACGAAGTTGACGCCCTTTCAACCATCTCATTGGTGATGCCGGGGCTGGTGTCTGTTTGCTGGCTGCGGAAAGCCTCGAGGTGATGGTCAACATTGGCGTAATGGCTCGGCTCCGTCGAACATTCGTGTGCATCCGCATAAGAATGCCACTTGCCGACGAGCGCGGAGGGGATGGGTCTGCCATAGAAAGCCGTGTAGGCCCTGGTGATATTCGCGAAGAGGCCATGTCTTCTGTAATGATGTCGGTGGCCTGTTGTTGCGGAGATGAGAAGAAAGACGAAGAAGGAAAGCATGTCACCGAGCTATTTATACGCTGTTTACATGTCGCAGACCCATTTCCCTCCACAACCGTCCAAACCGTCCACAACCGTCCCGTCCCGTCCCAGTTGCTTTGCTCCTTGTTGAGGTATGGGCGTATCAAGAATGTGCAATCAAGGCACGAAACAGCTTAGGTTAACCGTCACACTTGCAACAGTACAGTAAGTATCGCCTAAAGCAATCAGTACAGCGCCGATTGCTTTGGACGCTTGATTGGTTTATACGTACAAGCGAGTGATTGCTTAACACCCCGTACAAGCCTCCTCCCCTGATCGCGCATTTTTTAAAACGTCCCAAATGTGCCGAAAAATATTTAAAAACCGGCAAACCGTCGGAAAAGTCAGAAAACGCAAATGAAAAAAAAGGAAAAAAAAGGAAAAAGGAAAAAAAAGAAAAGAAAGAAAGAAAGAAAGAAAGAAAGAAAAAAAGAGAAAAAAAGAAAGAAGAGAGAGAGAGAGAGAGAGAGAGAATCCCCGACAAACAAGGAACAGATTTTAAAAGCCGCCAAAATAAAAGGAGACAATTTAAAAAAGTTGGGTTGCAATCCGTTGAATCACAGCTTGCTTGGCATGTTCTTCTCTCGCAAACCAGTGTCTTTCACACATCGAACTGGATAACACTCGTATGTATTTACCACACAGTCTATTTGCCTTCACACTTACACATATACACGCACGCACCATAAGACAGACATAAGATTACACACAAGACAACACATAGAGACATGCATACATAATTCATACAGACAAACAGCCAGACAGCGTTAGCAGAGGCACCACATTCATTCACAGAGACAGACAGTCGGGGATGGTACGTATATGAACCAATCAATTAATCAACCAGTCAATCAATCAATCAACCAATCAACTATTTTCCTCGATTCTTCCGCTGTCTCGGTGATGTGCGAGCGGTTTTTTCGGCACCAAAAATAGCCATTTTCCGCGGGTGAAAACCGGGGTCGCCCCCTTCCCTCCCATCTCCTTTTTTTCAAACGTCCCAAACCCCTCAAAAAACGGGGGTAATTTTGACAAAAATTCAAATCCAAGGGAGGAGGCGTTGCACGGAGTGCTTTTGGCACGGCTGTTGTGACCCACTCCTTCCATCTATGTCATCCGTGCAGCCCTCCGTAGGGCTCCCTCCTGCTGACGGAGGCGAGTTGACACCCACTGAACCCGCCTCGCCGAGCCGACCGCACCGCTCGTTGACCTCGCCATGCCACCTCAG